TATGTAAAGCATGAGGAGTTATACATTTAAAAAAATATAAAATATTTTTAATTTTTAGAGATATAATCATTATCTCTTTTTAAAAGTGTTCATATTGATAATAATTTTATTTTTATTCTAAGGTATTTAATAAAATTAAATATAAAAAAATAAAATTAATTTAAAAATAAATAATTTTTATTAAAAAATAATATTTAATTAAAAATATAAAAAAATATTTTATTTTTTAATAAAAAAAGAATATAAAATAAAAAAATATCAACATCAGCCATGTGCATCAGCAACTTCCCTTTCTCTACCTACGAAAGTCAATAAAACATTAAATGAGCATGTACTGATGATGTGCCTACACAATTGGGCCTACGAAGGAAAATCCAAGATTCCTTTAAACGTTGCTTATAATTTAGCATTTTCATTGTATCATTGTTACACTCTTCAATCTTATTTATAAGACTATGCTCTTTAGTTTTTAAATTAGGATATAACTTTATTTTTAAATTATTTTTAGAGGAGTAATATTACTTTCAAACTATCTATTATAGTAATATTATCCTTAAATTAATTAAATTAAAGAAATGTTATCCCTATTATTTAAAAGCCCATTAATATAATTAGTAGGACTTACTTTTTTTGAGTTAAGGTAATTTTTTGCCTCTAATTTTTTTTGCAATTGAGCAATATTGCTCTCATCATGTAAAAATCATAAATTTTCATTAGTTATGGCTAGTATGATCCACTTTTCACTATTTCTCTCTAGTAAATATTGAATCAGGTTAGAATTTTCAACTAGACTGTAGTATTCTAGTTGTTGAATTGATTTTTAGGTACCCACTTTATGATGGTCTATGTATAAGCTTTTTTGTTTATAATGTATATAGGAGAGTATATTTATTTATGATAGTCAATTTTATAAATTGATCCACTCAAGATGATAATAAGCAACATTTTTATTCTAAAAATGTCGTTTATATGCTTTTTGTTGGATCAAGAGCTCTATTATAATGTTGTTAGTGTAAATTTATGTTTTAACTATTGTCATATTTGTCATTGAAGAAAATTAGTATAAAAATTGAGCTTCTTCTCAAAGTATAATTCATGACTTGTTGAAATGTTAGTAGAGAATACTATGACATAGATAAATGTTTTTTTCATGAATATTAGATGTTAAAAAGGATGTGAAAAGTATGTCATTAGTATAAAAAGTATTTTTTATTATCTTTATCTAATTAACAAACATTTATAAATTTTAAATGGCGGGACAACATTGTTTAAATTTAATTAGTTTAAAAGAAATATTGCTCATTTGAGAATAATCTAAAGATAAAATTGCATCTTAACTTATGAAAAATGAGTTTCATTAGCTATAGTAACAGGCATTTAAATTGTAAGGGCAACATTACTTTGATTTAATTAGTTTAGGAGGTAATATTGCTATGATAAATAGTTTAGGAGTAACATTGTTTTTATAAAAATAATTTAAGGGCAAAATTACACCTTAACTCTTAGTTTTTTAATAAGAAATCCTTTACAAAAATTAATGAAATATTTATCACACATTTTCATCAATGTCAGCTATTTCACCTTTAACTTAAATAATATGACGTTAATTTATCAAGGATAATTTGAAAAAGTTGAAAAAATATTTTTCCATTTAACTAATTATAACTAACCTTTTTAATTTCAGAAAAGTAATTAATATGGTCTTACAAGAAATAATGGGGAATATTAATGAACTTGGTAAAAAAATTAGTAGCAAGTGCATGTATATATACGGCTAAAATGTATAAAACTTTTTTAAAATTTAACATAATTGCATACGACTTTTTTTATATTTAAACGTTTAAAATTAATTTCATAATCTTTATTTGTTTTTTCAAAAACCCTACCATTAACTAACTATTATTTTATTAATATAGTTATTGTCATACCAAATTAATTCAATACATATAATGTTCAATACATATAATGCATGATATGGAAAAAATATTTTTATTATTTTTTAACACAACTTAAGGAGGAACAAAATTATAAATTTTACTTTTCACACACATGACAATTCTCTCAGTTTTTTAAGTTGAGCGACATTGGTTTCATTATTTACGGATAACACAGTTTAAGAGAAAAATTATAATTTTATTATTCTTTATCAATTAAAACAATCTTTTAAATTAAAGAAATAAAAAATATAAAAAATATATCTAAAAGTTGTCATTAATAAGAATCATATAAATAAAATTTTATCATTTAATATAAGAAAATTATGATATTTTACAAGTTGTTTTTAACAAAATCGATACAAATCATCAATAGCAAGAAAAAAAAAAAAACTAAAGCAGCACACATTCTATAACATATCAATAAATTTTTTTTGTTTGAATAAGTATTAAAAACTTATTCAAATAAGAGTATGAAGAAACTAAACAAAGAAAATAAAGAAAATTACGAGTCTTGTCAATAATAGCTTTTAGATATTTTCATTTTCATTTGTTTAATATAAAAAAATCTGTTTTAATTGATAAAGAATAATAAGATTATAATTTTTCTTTTAAATTATATTTTAGCTCAACTAAAAAATAATGAGAGTATCGTTATGTGTGTTAAAAGTAAAAAATTATAATTTTACCGTTTTTTAAATTACGTTAAAAAATAATAAAAATATTTTTTTCATATCATGTACTATATGTATTGCACTAATCTGATGAGGTAATAACTATGTTAATAAAATAATATTTAATTAACCGTAGGGTGTTTTGAAAAATAAAATTAAATATTAGAAACGTTAATTTTAAATGTTAAAAAATAGAGAGAATCATATATCACTGTCTAAAAATTCATGAACGTTTTTTTGCATTTTATGGCTATATATACTGTTTCCACTTGTTACACGCACAACGTAACCTAAAATCAACTGGGGTTCGAGAGAAGCCAATTGTGTGTGTGTGTATGTGTGTTTTTTTTTTTTTTTGGTCCTTCCATTCCCGCTAGTTTGAGACAAGCACCTAAAATGAGTTCACACGTGTACACATATTCGCTGACACGTTATTCATAAGCCAACTCACAAACTTCTACGCTATATTCTGCGCGCTTATGCTATAGTAAGCAGTCTAAATGATTATTTGATTAATTTGTAAATTCTGTCTCTCCCTTCATGTTCAAAATATATAATTAGACTATACTTTTTTGTCAACAATAATGACATTTAATTATAAAATTTATACAGCTTTGTGTAAAAATTAGACATTTACTATATTTTCGTATGAATATTATGAAATAAGAATAGACATATAGTATTTATAAGTTTTATCAATTATAACATCAAAATGATAAATATTTAACCAAGCGAAAAAAGCATAGCCTTATTGTTCAATTATTGTCTCGCATGTAATGATAGAGTCGGTAATTCGGGCCAAGCCCGACGGACTAGCCCGAATTGGCCCGAAAAATTTTAGGACCGAGCTTAAAAAAAAGTATTTTTTTATGTTCGGGCCTTTCGGGCTGGCTCGAATAGGCCCGAAAAAATTTGGGCCAAGCCCAATCGGGTTCGGGCTTGGCCTGAATACCCGAATAAAAAAATTATATTTTTAAAAATATATATAATGAAATAGATATTAATTAATTTTTTAAGTTTTAGATCATTTTATACTAAAATACCATATATTTGAGTCCTATATATCATTTAAGTATTAAAAAAATATATTTTATATTTTTATAAAATAAAATAATTAATTTCAAAATAAAAAAATAATTAAAAATAATTTTAAAAATTAAATTAGAGTATTCGGGTTGTTCGAAACCCGAAAAAATTCAGGCCAAACTTGACTATTTGGGTTTTTAGAGAAGTCGGGTCTATTTAAATTCAGACTTATTCAGATCAGCCCGCCTGATTTCCTAACTCTATGTAATGGTATATTTATGGTCCGCATGCAATGAATTAGCAACTTTTGTTTTTGCTTATCTGAATTTGCAGTGCGGACAGAAAGCGATATGGCAGTCAAATCAATATATCAAAACGTTTATTCTGCTGTTCTCGTCATTTTTTATTTTTTTTTCATTTGTCGCCTGGTTTTTTTTTTTTTCTTTTTTTAGTTTGAGAAAACGCTACTCTCAATCGCCATATTTTGCTTAAGTTTTAGTATAAGCCTCTATATTTTATTTTTAATATTTCAGATTTTTACACTCTTTTTCATATGCAACTTTTGTCCTTACATTTTCAGATGGATATTGACGTGGTATAAATAAATTGATGTTGATATATTAATTAATAATATTAATTTTATACTTATTTGTCAAATTGATGTTGAGACGAAATTTTTTAATAAGTGAATATTAAAAAAATGCCTGCATCACATGAAATAAAAAGGCTGACTTAATTTTTAAAATGATCAGCAAAACATATAAATTTCATGTATAGGCTTTTCTTTTTAAATTTTTGCTTATTAAAAATTCTATGTTAACATTAGGTTAACACGTAAACACAAAATTAATATTGTTGACATGTCAGTATTATTAACATTATTTATATTATGTTAATATTTTTTTAAAAATATAGGGATCAACATTATAGATGAAAGAAAGTGCAGAGACATGGAACATAAAAAAAAAAAAAAGTGTAAGGACCTATAATAGAAATCAAAGTGTGGGGACCAAGAGTAGTGTTTTTTCTTTCTTTTTTGAAATTATTCATCTACTCCTTTGACGGGTTACTCTCGTAATCTTGATGTCTTTAATTAGTTCGTGGAATAGTCAAGACTCAAGAGTCTCTTAAATTCCTACCTGTTCTGATGAAAACCCTTTTTTCCAGTTGCCCAGAAACAAAGAAAAGTAGGAAAATAATCCATCTTTGAATTCCTAGTTTACGTACGAGAGTTTGGTTAGACAAGTTCAAGCATGGGACCACCACAAAAATTAAGTGCAATTTTTACTTCTCATTGCTCCGTCTTTGCTTCAAATGGGTACGTCCCTTGCCATGAAGACCATATAAACCAATCCCATTTGGTCTCTCCCGTCATCCCTTCTCTTGCGTACACTCATTGCACCATAAAGCCACCCTTTTCCTCCCTCTCTATTCTCATGTAGGTGTTGCAAACCCAATCTCTAGTTAAGCTCACACTCGCTTTCATGGCTATACCCAATATCTTCACCATAGTTCTCTTGCTTCCGCTTCATTTGGCCTTCGGAAATGTCACTATGAGTTCAACACTCTACGCTGGTGATCGAAATTCTTCATGGCTCTCATCGTCCAATGAATTCGCTTTCGGATTTTGCCCAATCAACAACAGCACAAACCTCTTCTTGCTTGCCATCTGGTTTGACAAAATACCTACCAAGACCATCATTTGGAATGCAGACATTCCAGATCCAGTGCCTCCAAGATCCAGGGTTCAGCTCACACCAACAGGTCTCTCACTCACTAACCCCCAAGGTCGAGTTATGTGGGCAATCGAGCTCGAAGAAAATGTGTCCTACGGAGCAATGCTTGACACCGGAAATTTTGTTCTAGTATCCTCTAGTTCTCAGTCATGGCAGAGTTTCAACAATCCCACCGACACACTCTTACCCACCCAAACTTTGGATTTAAGCAGTAAGTTATCTTCTCGATTGTCACCATTCAATTACACAAAGGGAAGGTTTGAGCTTTATTTTGACAATGGAAATCTCTCCTTGAGTCAAATTGGGTGGCCAGCTGAATATCATTACACCAAGTATTTTGATATTAGCATGAGTTCTAGTGACTCCGCCTCACAACTAGTCTTCAATTCATCGGGACAAGTTTATGTGAAGACAAAGAGTGGAGATCAAATTGCTTTTGGGTTGAGTGATTCAAGTCTTTCTGTTAGAAGATATTATTATAGGGTCACACTTGATTCCTATGGAGTTCTCTCCTTGTATTCCCATCCCAGGGCATCCAATGAAGATCAAGTTTGGTCAATTGAGGGGCATGTTCCTGAAAACATTTGTAATGCAATATTTAGTGATATGGGTAGTGGTTGTTGTGGCTATAATAGTTACTGTTCTTGGGATGACAATAGCAAGAGGCCGACATGTTCTTGTCCAGAAGGATATTCCTTGGTAGATCTGAACGACATATTTGGAGGATGCCTACCTGATTTTTCCCTTGGTTGTGGAGCTGATGATGCACCATCACGAGAAAATCCAGAAGAGGTATATGACATGAAGCCGTTGCAAAGTGTGAATTGGCCTCTTGGAGATTATGAAAAACTGATCAATTATACGAAGGATGAATGTAAAAAATCTTGCTTGTATGATTGTAATTGTGTAGTTGTTATCTCTAACACTGGAAAGGAATGTTGGAAGAAAAGATTACCCCTTTCCAATGGAAGATTATCTGCCAGTGAGGGTGGAACAACCTCACTCTTGAAACTAAGAATTCAACCAGTAGGTAATCTAAAACCTTCTTTGCAAAAGGAAAACCGGGTCCAACCTGCTTTGTTAGGGTCACTTATTGGCTCCCTTGTCATTATTACTCTATTGGTAGCTAGTTTTGTTTCATTTATTTTCTTCAAGCCAAAAAAGACTACTTCTCAAGTTTCGAGTCTTGTTGAAACAAATATGCACTCTTTCACATATGAAGCACTGAAGGAGGCAACACATGACTTTAGTGAAGAAGTAGGAAGGGGTTCATTTGGCATTGTGTACAAAGGTGCCCTCAAATCAATGACAAATACTGTTGTTGCAGTGAAGAGATTGGACAGGATGGCTCAAGAACGAGAGAAGGAATTCAGGAATGAGTTGAGTGCTATTGGGAACACTTGCCACAAAAATTTGGTTCGGTTAATTGGGTTTTGTGATGAGGGAGTTCATAGACTTCTCGTGTACGAGTTCATGAGCAATGGTACTCTCGCAGATATTCTCTTTGGAAAATTCAAACCTGTTTGGAATTTAAGGGTTAATTTTGCTTTGGGAATTGCAAGAGGATTGCTTTACTTACATGAAGAGTGTGACACTCCTATTCTTCATTGTGATATCAAACCTCAAAATATACTGATAGATGAACATTTGAGGGCAAAGATCTCAGATTTTGGACTGGCAAAGCTGCTGTGTTCTAATCAGAGTCGAACCAACACTGTGATAAGAGGAACTAGAGGGTATGTAGCACCAGAATGGTTCAAAAATGTGCCAGTAACAGCCAAGGTGGATGTTTATAGCTATGGGGTGGTGTTGCTAGAGATAATTTGTAGCAAAAGAAGTGTGGAAAAGGATATTGGGAAAGGGGAGGAAGAAGAGGTAATATTGACAGATTGGGCTTATGATTGCTATGTGGAGGGAAGAATAGACATTCTTGTAGAGAATGATGACGGGGCCATGGCTGACGTGAGGTTGAGGAATTGGGTCATGATAGCAATGTTGTGCATTCAAGAGAATCCTGAAGCGAGGCCTAGCATGAGGACCGTGATGCAAATGTTAGAAGGCCTTGTTGACATTCCAAATCCACCTCCACCTTCATTCTACACAACTGTTTGAGCGTCGCAACTATGGAAACAGTACCTCTATCATTGTCATTATCACCCTGAATAAATAAACTGCTTCATGTTCATAATGGTTGTATTGCACACTATTTTCTGCTGTAGTCTTTACATTAAGTATGTCTTAGCTAGCATGGTTTTATAGTCTATATTCTGTAGCCATACTTTGGTTGATGAACTTATTAGCTCAATCAAAGTCTTAGAAAGATAGGCTTTCTTGATTTAAATGAGACTTGATAATAATTTAATATTACTTAATTTTGACTGGAAAAAAATACACATACAAACTAATTGCTATGATTTTTGTTGCTATAAAGCTATGATTTGTGAGCTGAATACAAATTATTGTTTTTCTTTCTTTCTTTTTTTATTTTTTTATACACACATTATCTTTTTTTTTTTTTTTGAAGTAATCAATTTAAACACAACTCACTCACTCAAGTGCCAAAGCAAGGTTTAGACTCCGAACCTTGGGCTCACAAGAAAGTGACATTGCCGCTGAGACAACTTGCTATTGGCTTGATACAAACATTATTGGTTTCAAACATAAACTCAAGAGATTTCTTCATTATTGTGCCTCAATCTCCTCCAAAAACTATTTTAGCCCAAATAGTCACGCCATGAGTTACGTTACGAGGCCTATGGTCAAATTTGGGCCTTAACCCAAATATACTGCATCAAGCATAGACTATAGTGAGCCCATTCTATTATATTTTAATTACTACATCAATTTCACAGTGTATTGTCGCCAATTTCTCTATCAATTCCTTGGATCTTCTGCCATTGATTGCTCAAAACATCAATTTTGTATAAAAATTTGGATCAATCTACATGATTAAATTGGTAAAATGTTAAACCCTGTATTTTAAGACTCTAGCCAACATGGATAATCAAATCAGTTGAACCACCACTCGAATACAAAAATGACTCAATTTAACTTGTTAAGCAGTTGCAGGGTTTAGACTACTTTGAATTGTTTTGAACCAGCAAGTTTTGATAGAATAATTGAAGTTAATCTAAAAATAAAAATGATTAGATTGTTTTGAATCGGTTTATTTTATACTCACATTTTACCAACCTACATGAAATTAATCTTCTTCCTTCTAGCATTTAATTTTTACCTTCTTACGCCATGTTTGGTATAAAATGGAAATGAGATTGGCAATAAGTATGAAAAGTGTTTTTTTTTTTAAACCCCATTCTTCTAACTATAGTTAGAAAGTATATTATTAGTAATAACATAAAAGGAAAATTGGGATCTCCCAAAAAGACCATGCAAATAGTGACAAATTAGACCTCTAGAATAAAAGCCCAGCGATGATGTGATGATGAGGTGAAACCAAACCATTAGAATGAAAGAGAATCAAGGAAAATGGACTTGGCCCTTTCACTACACCTCCCCACCTTAGCAACTCCATTGCATTTGGGTGAAACTTGAACAGTCCAGATAAAATCTAAATGGTCCAGCTTTAATATTTTTATTTTTATTTTTATTTTATATTTTTTGTTTATTAAAATAAATAATTTATAGCAAAATTTAATAGATCTGATCACTTGTTTGAATAGTACAGATTCAATACAAATAGCCCAAATTTAGTATTAATTTTTATATTCTTTGTTTGGACTGGTGATAAGATTTATTAAATTTGTTATGAATTTTTTTATTTTAATAAATATAAAATAAAAATAAAAGTAAAAATATTAAATCTTTTTCTGTATAGTCTAGATTTCTCCCAAATGCAATGAAGGTGGGGGGTGTAGCAGAGGCAAGCCAAGTTTGAGAAAAATTGGACTTCATGGTTTAGATGAACATTCTCTTTATTTCACAACTTTAGATGTTAATATGATCCCATCCAAATCTTCTAAATCATAAAACAAAATGTTTATTTGACATCTATTACCACTATATATAGTAGACCCTTTGATTAAATTTGATTATATACATTTAATGGTTTCTAAAAGTACACATTAATCTAGATTGTAATATATAATTTAATCTAAATAATTTAGAAATTATAGTAGTGAAGCGGTACAAAAATAGAATGGAGAGAATCAAATTTATAGTACATCTGAAAATAAGAAAAGGTACTTTCTGTTGTCAAATGTCCTCACTAATAGATTCAGGGTGGTATAAACCATAAGGCAAGTGAGTCAATTGCCTTAGGCCTCCAAAAATAATTTCTTAACACCCCTATATATATAGTGTTATATATTTAATTGCATATCAAAGAGGTTAAAAAGTATTGATTATTCTTCTCATTGAAAAGCTCCAATCATTCACAATATAAAATTAATTATTGATCAGAGCCCATTGTCTACATTTAAAAAATAATAGTGAGATACATAATATACTAATTTGCACTATAGTCTTGCTCTAACTCTCTCTCATGGTCTCATTTTTCATTTTTTTCCTTTTCTTATTTTAAAGTCTAAAACATTGACTGACAAACATCAATCTCAAGATCATGTGTAGTTTTAGACCATGAAGGCAACAACTTTAAGCCTTATTAAAATCTTTTTTATAATTTATATAATTATTATTGTTTTTCACATTAATCATTGATATTATTAGTCTTAGTTATATGCTTTTATTAAAAATATATTGCCACCCTGTAATCCGTTTTGACATTACCAAAAAACACTATACAACACTATATCATGGTAATTAGAATTAGATAAATCCTTATATTAAATTACTATAATATAAAGGGTTGAAACTTAAAATTAGAAAAGAAAATAGTAAAAAATTGGGATCTTGAGGTAAATTAAAAACGTTTGAGCTCAAACTTAAGATAAAAATGTCAAATAAGAAGTCACGGAAGCATGACAATTGAGAAAACAATTAATAGATGGCAAAACAAGGGAAAAATGGGCATTCTACCAAAACTGCTTCATTCACCATGGCCAACAGCTAATTAGTTATTAGCCATGGCAAATGATATAGTTGGTGTTTGCCATAGCTAGTGCACAAGTTGGCCATAGTCAACAGTCATGATGTGATGCATCATAGCACAACAAGCTTCTCGCCTTGGCGACTTGTCATGATGTAACATCTTGAATTCTTAATCTAGAAACTAATTGTTAATTTATTAGTAAATTAGTAAATTAATTGTGTTATCACAAATTTTGGATGGTTAATTAATATTCTGATTTATTGGGCATTTGGATGATTAGGATTGATTGGGAGTATAGTGATTCAAAGTGAAGCAGTGTGTGAGCTGTAGTGAGGTTTCTCTCACAATGCCATGTGTTAGGGCTTATGCATCATGTGCTACAGTGCATGGTATAGAAATCTAACTTATAGTACGCAGATCAAGTCAGGAGAGGAAGAGGAAAAAGGGAATAAATAGGTGAGAGAGGAAGAGAAGAAGATGGAATCTGCTAGGCAAGCTATGACGGAGCATTGGGAGTTAGTTTTGACCTGTCACTTATTAGGTAAGTTTTGTACTTCCCTGTGCTTCTATTCAATCTTAATTTTTCTTAGTTTGAGAGATAGAACAATTGAACTGGGGAGTGTTGGGGGTTGTTTTCTAACTCAATTTTTGTAAAAAGACTATTGGGTGTTAAATTAAGATTTTATGATTGGTTTAGTGATTAATAATGGAACCTAAAAGCTATAAGCTCAATTTGGCTTAATTGAAAAGTGATGAAACAGAGAAAGTGCTTGGGTGGATTATAGGAAAGTTAGACATAAAAGGTATAGGAAAGGTGAATTAGGGTTGAGGTTGCTAATTGGAAGTAGAAAATGAACTTAACTTAGGCTAATTGTATTAATTAATACTTATGGTCAATTTGATAATTGACTTATAGTGCTAAATTGTGTAGATTTATATGGACCACATGTTGTTTTGAGCGAGTGGCTACTAAAAGTGAAAAGAGTACCATGCGTAACCTTTTTAAAAACATAAGGCATTTGAGAAAAATTGTCGTGGTGTATGAGAAACAGTAAGACTTTCTTCACTGTGCCACACATCGCAACATATACTACATATGCTGCAATCCATGGCACATAATTTTAAATAGTAATATATGGCTGGCTCAAAAAAATCAAAGAGAAAAGAATGGGAAAAGAAATGAAAGAGAGGAGGAGGAAGGTCTTCTCTTCTAGAGCATCAATTTTCAGAGTTCCAAGAGACATTTTTGACATGTTGTTTGTGGGGTAAGTTTCATTCCACCGTATGCTCCTGATCCACTCTAATTTCTCTCAATTTGAGAGATAGAGCAATTAAATTGGGAAGTCTTAAGGGGTTGTTTTCTTTTGCTTTAGTAATAGAAAGACTTTTAGGAGTTAAATTAAGTTTTTGTGTCTAGTTTGGGAATTTATAGTTAAGTTTTGAAGCTATAGGCTTGATTTAGCCTAAATTGATAATTTGTAAAGGGTGAAAATGCTTGTGGGAATTTTAGGGAGGTTAATGAAATTGTAGAAACTATGAGGAAAATGAATTGGTGCAAAGACTCTTAGATGAGAGTGATCAGGTAAATAATTATGATTAATTGTGATAATTAGTGCTTATAATCAATTTAATAATTAACTTATAGTGCTAGATTGTGTAGATTGACGTAACTCGCGGGTTGACTTTAGCAAGAGGAAGCTAACATCTTAAGTGAATATCATGGGTAAACCTTTCTAAAAACAGAAGGGTTAAGATAACTAGATAATCTATTCTATCCCTAACTAGTTTAACTGTATATGAGTAAATGAGTAGAATAATATATGTAATTTTTAATCATATGCATGATTTGAAAGCTTGCATAACTTAGCATTGAAAAGAACTTGAATTACAAAGTATATTACTAAATATTTGTTTGAAAAATTGAAAAGATGTACATGGTTTATATACGTGCGCGTGCATGTGGATATAATTGGGAATTATGTATAAAAGTGTGTAAAAAGAGCATGATCATATTAACAGTGGGAGTTCACTCTTAGGTGGGGGTAATGTGAAAGACCATATGACATCTATTATCCTTAATGCTTGACGGGGTGCAAAGTTGGAGAATTTCTCTCCTTAGTACCTATATAAGTGTGGTGTTGGAGACTTTATCTCTTTATTGCACATATGGGTGCAATGTTGGAGATATACACTCCCTAACATTTGTGAGATGAGGTGTCAAAGTAATAATACCCCAATCATGTGTGTGATAGGAAAACCATAGTCTAAAAGTGGGATAAAACACCTTTGGTCAGTTGATTCTACCATTAAAAGTGTGGTTATGTATACATGAATGGTCTAATAGGGCCTATGCATTTAA